CAAATGCTTTTTACCAGTGAAGAGTGTCACTAAGAATTAGATAGAGCTGTTTGGTTTTTGTTAAGTTAATTTTTCTGTACTGGTTTTCCTGTGCAGGTTAAGTTTGTGGTGCAAAATATCATGACTCAGATTGTGATGATTTTAGGGTCCCCTTACCCCCCTCAGTCTTCATAGTGCAAATGGAATGACAAATGGCCATCGGTGTATCACTGCAATGTGTGTTTGTGTTCTGTACAAATCTTTTATGTCCCCTTCCCTGCATTTGTCCTTACCTTTGAAGTCTTCTTGTTTGTATAGGTTTTCTGCCTGTGCTTTTGTTGCTCATTTTTGTATAGCTGTTCCATCTCTTGCAATCTCATTTGCAGCTGAGTGATGAGGTAGCTTTTTAGTGTTTCATGCAATGCTTGACTACAGATGTGGAGGCATATTAAAAATACTACTGTATGGGAAGTTTTCCAGTTTTGTCCAACACAAACAAATAGTCCCATTGAATTCCAGTAACCTCTTTCCATTTTGGCTTTGTGTGCAGCCTGGTTACAGCAAGGATGCAGTGGGGGGAAGCACATCCTTGCTCACTTATTTTGCCTTTTTTGTTAAAACATAAACCTAACCTGAGCTCTTGCCTTAAACCACACCAAATGTTTCCCTTTGGAATTTCCTTCAGTTTGCTGTTAACAGACTTGCATCATGCTATATGTCTGCACCCTAACAGGCTCCAACTGATCTGATGGCCAAAGTGATGTCAGCAAAGTACTAAAACCTTATACCTTGCTAAATGTGCTTTATTTTCTGTGTCCTCCCTATACATCAGGAAGTATCTAGTGTCCTAAAAGCTACTGATGCTATTTTAACAGCTGTCTGGGTTGTGTGAAGGATTAGGTGTCACTGGGCATCTCCTATTGGAGTTAAGCTTGTTCTGAGAAACCAAGTTACTGTGATGACTTTCCTTGGCTGCTGGAAAGGTTAGTCTCACTGTCTGAGCTGGATGCTTTGACACTGCTTTCAGTAAAACGGGAATGTTGTTAGATCTTGTGGCTGCCTTGCACGTTGAGTGTGGCAGGCCTGTAACTGGGCTCTAGTGTGTGAGCTGATGTTCATTGTACGTTTTTTTTTGTGCCCCCCCCTGTATTTTATGTATCTGTTTATGTAGGGTCTAGCTCCTGTATCCTGTGTCTACAAGTGACCTCTGGTAGATGTCAAGGAAGAGTATAGAAAAGCAGAGAAAATGTATTGTGACATTTTCTGGTGGAATTCTGCCTGTCACCTTAAGCTGATGATGTGTCTTCTTAGCCTTATTTCAGATGTTCAGATGGGTTGCATAGGTGAGGATCTCTTTTATCCCATGGTACTGTTGTTTCTTTGAAAGTCTTTTAGAGACACCTTGCAAAAGTAGCTGTGGAACTCAGAGTGGGTCTTCTTGTCCACTTGCTTGAGAGAACTTGAAGAAATCTAAGTAGCTTTGCAGGGCATGGCTTTTATTACCAAAGCTGCATTACATCTTAGCCAGTGTATCTTCTTTATGACTGCTAATTCTGGTCTTTGTTAGTTTTCTGTGTTTTGTGACTTGTCTTGTGTAGCTTCCTGTCTTGCCTTTCTTCCTTACAACTCCCAGTCAAAGCACTCCACAGTGAACAAGGAGCACTGTAAGTTGATCGTCTGCTGAGTGGTTTCTCTGGCTTGATCTGGTGTTCAGCAGCAGACAACATGAAGAAGCGTCTCCCTTTTCTGCTGGCAGTGCACGAGTGTGTCCTGTGAGAGCTGAGTGCCCTCCTCCTGCAGAAGGGAAGCAGATGCTGGGTTATGGCCTGTTTTCTGCACGTCTGTGTTTGTCATGGAGCCTGTTCTACAGGCAGCTGTCATAAAAGTCACCATCTTTGTCTCCACTGTGATACTGGAACTCCATCCATACAGTGGTAAAAGGGTTTCATTTGACATTTTAGGCTTTTTTTTTGTGATTTTCAGTGTAGAAAACATTTAACAATCAAATGGTTTTAGTGGTATCTAGTGTAAGCAAAGCCATTTTACAGCCATTTTACAAAACATCCTTTGAGTTTTATACTTTTCTGCTTCAGTACAGAGAAATTTCTCAGAACCTAAGACTCTCACCCTTTTGTATTGCCTTTTTTTATTTTATCTTTTTTTTAAAGGGTTGTCCTTAAATATTTTTCTTCTCTTTTCTCCTTATAAAATCTTATACATGTGATGGGCAGGGTGTGCTTTTGCAATAGGCGGCTGGAAACTCGGAAGTGATGAGTATTAACTGGGGTACCAGGAAAATTGAAGTACTAATGCCTGTGAAATTTTCTTCTCCTCTGCACTATATTTTGATGATTTAGAAGTGGTTCTTTCACTGTTTAACTCTTTATGGCTTTTTTGTTTAGCTTTTTAGTTGTGGGGTTTTTTTTTTAATCCCAAAGCTGTTTTTCATTGAGCTAAGAACCGCATCTCCTTGCATCAAATAAACTTTCATTAGTCAGAGGTGATTACCAGAATTTTTTGAGGAGTTTATATGGCACTTGTGGTCGATTCGTAGAACACTGGAGTTTCTGCAGGACAGGCATTTCTCCTGCGCCACAGCTTTTCACTCCAGCTCCAGACAAGACACTGGTCTTCATATTCCAGCAGAATAGGGCTTGACACACAAACCACATTTTATTCCTTACTCATTAGATATTCCTCATCAGACCCCCACAATGTTTTTCTTGCTGGTTTTAGATGATTGTGTCTTTGCCTCGTTAGAGCTATTTCAGGTAAAAATCGCTTAATTTGCTCTGAAGATTGCCTGAGAAGTGCTGCAGGGCAAGACCCAGGTAAGCACCTCCTGCAAAATATGATCCATTTTCACTCCTGCTCACACGTATGTATATGCAATAGGTGAAATTGCCATCATATGTTCTACTGGCTAGAGCCAGTTCTAAGGCTGCAACTTGGTCTTCGCAAGTTTCATAACCTCCCCTTTCCGTGGGTTCCTTACCCAGGAATAAACGGTATTAACTTGTCTTTTCAAGGTGCTTTAACACTTTGGATGGAAGGTTCTCTTCAAAGTGAATCATGGTTTTGCTTTGTACCGTGATGCTGGTAGCTGAGCATCTTGCAACCATTGTGCCAAAATAACAGCAGCAGTTGGACTTTTCTGTTCTTAGCTGCAGAGATACTTTGTTTATCATTCTCAATTCCACTTGTACATATCAGAGCATTTCTTTGAGATGAAAAATAGCCACTCTGGTGAAGCCAAGCATGAAAGCGTAAGGTATGCACAGAGTTCAGAACTAAAGTAACATAGATCTTGAAATTGCTGATGCCTGTAAACACCGTTTTGCAACAGTTTTTAACATGTGAAATGATGTGTGATGAAGATCATGAATCGATCAAATTATAGTGAAGAGTATAAGATGACAGCATAGGCCAGGGAATGGCAGCAGTGCCGAGTTTGTACTGTTTATCTCTGGTCTGGCAGCATTTTCTATCATGAATCTGTTTAGTTTATAACTAGGCTATAAAACCTTAGTTCGGGCTGAAATGTAGCAGTATACGCTGTGGTTCAAAAATTGTGCTTTTACAGAAAAATACATCAGTAATTTGTAAATTAAAATTGCAGCACTTTAAAAGCTATTTATATTCTATATAAATCTGTGTGATCAATCCTATTTAAAACTTGCTGTCTCCTTTGCTTCATCAGATTCATTTTGCAGTGAGTTTTATGTACACATGTCATGACTTATTTATACTTCTTGCCATTAGAAGGGGGAACTTGCTGAGACTTGAGGAGGTTGCTGGGTCAAGGCTGAAGTGAGTTTTGGGGTTGTTTTGCTTAAAAGACTGGATGTGTGTATGGGTAACAAGAACACAGTTGTTAGTAACAGAAACTGAAGAAGGAATATTTACCATCCTTAGGGTTGCCCTATTAGAAGTTAAGATATTTAGTGTCAGTTTATCCCATGTTTCTTCTTCACCTTCTTCATGCTTCATCTGCTCTACTTGGTATTGACCAGTGTTTCAGACAGGAAACAAGCATGTGGAGCACAAAGGAGCCTGTCAAGTCCCCATGTTTCTACTGAATACTGAAAGTAGATCAGTGTAATCTATGTTAAAATGATTTTGTTTTAAAAATAATGTAACAAAACATTTAGCATACACATCCTGTGGCCCTTCATTAATGGAAAAATAAGAGCTCTATTTTAGAATGGCAAGGTCTTTTTATTATTATATCACTAATAACAAAAGGATAGTGGCATCAGAGGACCTACTATGATTTGTATGATCTCTTTGCAATCACATTAGAAATGATCTGTAATCAGTTTGACAGAGTTCATCAGTTTGAGCAATATATGCTGGTTGCACGCCCCAGTATGCATGCTGAAAGGGATGTTCAACTTACCATTAGTTCAAAATCCATTCTGTCTGTTGTGAAATCCAGTGGAAGGAATAAAACATCAGTGTAAGGGGGAGAGTTAAACACCAGCTGACAAGAGCCAGGTTACAAGCAATTGGCAATAGAGCTTTGTGCTCAGTTTGTATGCCGAAAGGGGTGTACCAGGAAGAACACCGAAAGACAGCTTTTAAGGCAAAATAAGGTTTAGTTTCTTGTGGAGGGCTGCAGCAAGGGGAGTGGCTTTTGCAGGCCTGCCTTTCCGCTCCAGGCAGTGTTACAGGGGTAGCACTTTTTGCCTCTGACAGGGCAGTTCACTTTGTCCCCAGAGAATCGGGGTATCTGTAGGGTAGCTGCAGCTACTGCCGTCCAGTTTTGGGAAGACCGTGGGTTATAAGTGGGTTTAAATGATAGTGAGTTTGGTCCCAGTTCTACGTATCACCTCTAAGGTTCAGCTTCTTGGATTTAGACATTTTAAGGTAGTATTTTTGTTCTAGCTTTAGCAGCTGTCTAATGAGAGACACTTTTTATCACCTGAGGTATAACGCTTCATGCAATAGTTAACTCCTACTGATTACTTTGAAGAAATTAGAGATTCAGTGTTTTTGAGGCAAAAGGAAAAGTAATAGTGTAACTGAAATCTTCTTTATTCACAAGAAGTAATGTAACCCAGTAATTCACACTGTGAGGCTCCACTTACAGCACTCGCATTGTCCATCCTGTGGCTTGCCATGCACAAGTACTTCATGAAGAAACTGCCAAGTGTAACTTTGCTTTTTTCAAGGGGACAGTTTTGTACTCTTGAAACTCTTTTCCCATCCCATATTGAACACGATCCAGGATCTCGGAGGTCAGTGGAAATCTTGGAACCATTGGAATGCCAGGATGTTTGCAGCTGCAGTGTTGTAATATTTTGTTTTTGCTAGTGTGGCTGGTACTGTAGAACCTGGTAGTTTAACATCTTAATTTCAGAGATTTGGTCATGGTGTTTCCTGTTTCATAGTGTGTTCCCTCAGGAGGGTTGCTTCCACAGCCTCTTGCAGTGCTACAAGAGGCAAAAAAGAACACAACCCCTCCAGCCTTAGCCTTCACTGAAAAGCATGCTGCTATAACCAGTGATCTTTTTGTATAAATTTTGCCCTCCTTCCTCCTACCCCTAATTAAAAAACAGCAGCTTGACAGCACAGCAGCAAATGCACATTAATATCAAACAGAATTTTCACTACCGTTTTCTTATTAACATAGGACGTCAGTATGTAAAGTTAGCTAGATCTGCACATGGGACCATTCTTGCTGTTAAAGGCTTTAGGCTGGAACAGAGCCCCAGCTTTTTAAAAGAAATGCAACATTTGCAGATCAGATATTAATTACATGCTATATAGAATTGTATTTTTCAAACAAATTTTATAAATAAAAAGCTAGGCCTTTCAAACCATCAGCAATATTAATTTTGGATTTGAAAGATAAACAGCCACCTAACTGTGAATTAGAAAAATACTGGCCTAGGTTGCATAAAAACCTCCTTTAAATAAATACTGTAAGTTTTCACTATGAAAATTCAGTGGCATTGTACTTTAAAAAACTGTAATGATGTAACCATCTGTAATGATGCTCGAGTTGTTTATCACAAATCACATACACATACAGGAAGTCAGATGGCCAAAAAAGGCTATGTATGGGATTAACACACAGCTCGACAGAAAGTACTCTTGGTATGCTCTGCTCCTTCATCATAACTTCCTGACTGTTGTTGCCGTGATCAACTGCAAATCCCGGCACCCTTCTCCCAGAGGTTGCTTTGCTGTTCTAGAAGGTCCAACACCCCAAAGGCTGATAGAGGTGACTGTGGTTGTGGTCTTGTGCATTCGCCCCTCAGACCACCGGTTTAATCTCAGGGTGGTTTACAGTGAGTGGCTCTGGCTTCCAGTCTGGTTGGAAAAAGTGAATATTGAATGTCCGTGCCCAGTTCTCAAACACTCGTTTCTCTGTGATAAAACGGTGATGGCTGCCCTTCCGTCCCCGCTCGTGTGACATGTACATTGTACATTCGTCAGGTCCCAGAGGTTCATAATAATGATAAGGTACTGAAGGATGATTAGGATCCCTGTGGAAGAAAGAAAATAGATGGAAGACCGAGATGTTCTTTTTCACTGATTGAAAAGATGCTATCTTTAATGAACTGATGGGCTTAAATCCACTTTTTCTCCCAGTTAAACCAAATTTCTAGGTGGCTGCATTGGTTTTGCATATTTAATACATCAGAATACGGCAGAGGTGTTTTCCTTGTTCTTTCTATTGCTCTCCTTTAATCGCCTCCTCCCAGTTAAAGAAAGGACAGCAGCAGCTCAAAACCAAGGAAGAGTGCTGCAGGGCTGTCTTACTCTGAAATTTGAAGCAAAGTGCTTAAAACAGATTTATATCTAGATTGTGATTTGTAAAAAGCCTTGCAGAGGTGTTTACTGGGCTGGGGAAGAAGGGGAAGAGAGAGATAGAGGGAAGTGGTTATCTGTGTCACATCAGCTCAGAGCATTCCCAGCATGGTACACAAGGTTCTGAGGGCACGTTGCTGAGTGCATATGCATGCTAGGTCAGTGATAGAGTCTGCTGTTGCTGGTTTTATATAATCATACATCTGATGCACAAATGAGTTCTTTCTGATTCTACAACAGCAACTTTCATGTATCTAAGCTAAAAATTGAAACTGTTCTGCCACAGTATACTCCTGACACTGTGAGCCCCCTGGCATTAACCGGCAGGAAATGTGTACTCCTGTGGTGACACACAGGGTATGCTGAAGACCAATTACATATTTAGGATGAAGTTCATTTTAGCAGTTCTAACCTCAATGTTTTGATGTTATGTTCCGTAAAAGGCACATCTGTATTAAAATAAGCCAGTGATTCATTCTCCTTTTGTTTTACTCTCTATGTTAAACTGTACCCATTATGTTTTTACTTTGGGCACAGGCATTTTGGGCTGACAAGGACACATACAACCCTCTATCATAAATTCAAAGAGAGATGCCCCAGACAGAATTAACCCAACTGTATTGATCTCCACAGCTCCTATCAACAAACTGTTTTGTAGCAGCAGAAAAATAAATCCAAATACTACCATTTAATGAAGTCTTGGAACTGCTCTGTGTTAAAGCCTGAGCTAAACAGGACACTAGTACAGAGCAAAAAATCTCATGCAGATTCTGGGCTGTCAGCTCTAATATAGAGTTGATTATTTTCATTTTGAAGAGGTACTATTTAAGCTTACTTTCAATTGAATGAATCTACAACCTGTCAGTATTTTGTCCTGGTCATTATTTTTACTGTGTAATTCTGTCACCTACACAGTTCTCTAATTTTTCTTATTTTGCCATTATCCATATAGTATACGCACTGGTAATGTACAATACTGCTGCTGCTTTCCATTTGTACCATAGATTAATGTTTTAATTCAATCAATCTAGCTTCCTGGTAACACAACACAGTGATCAATCATACAGAATAACAATAAAATTACATTTCTAGAATAAGATGGATTCTAAATTTACTATATATATATTCCCACCGGAATATGTAAGACTGAAAAGAAATCCTTCAATACCTCACCTACAGAAAACATATTTGTAATGTAAAATATAACCCTAATCTAATACTTTTTTAAAAGCTACAACTATTAGATCTCACTCTTCAATTAATTTTTACAGACTTTTTTGATAAATTGGACCTCTTATTATAATCTCTTAAATTAATTATTTTTATGGTTACTGTTAAGTCTAACAGGACACATTTTAATGTACTAAATGCACAGGCCTCTGCCTATCATTTAGACTGCTCTTCCTCTCTGCACTGAAGCTGGATTTTACTCTTGTGTTCTTGAGGGTAAACCTGTGTTGCTCTGGGTAAATGAACTGCTTTAACATGGGGATTAGTAAAGTTGAAATCAGACTTTGAACAAATGCAGTCACAGTGGGGAAAAAGCCCAGCACTGCAGTAGATTTGGCCAGGATCCTCCACTGTCTGTCTCCTCACCCCAACCCTTTTTGTTATGAAGGCCTGAGTTGGGTTTGCAGAAAATCAGTTGCTGTACATCTCTTCCCTATTCCTTTGCTGTAACTGAAATTAGCAATGGATGGAAAGTCGGGTCATTTTTTTTTTCCTCCACACAAAACCCAGAGTATACAGGTACAGGGTGCTGGTGGATGAAACAGAGGAAGGAAAAAAGGCTCGATAGTGATCCTCTTGCTTCTCCCTCACTCTGGTAACTTAGTATTTACCTAGGATTGCACTCTTCTGTTGCCTCTTGGAAGAAACATTTGGAAGCCTCCCAGTAAGTGCTTTCTCTCTTACATTACTAGTATTCTACCGGTGGATATTTTAGCAGTGGGTTCCCTTTTGAAGACAGGGATTCCACATTGCATCAAAGGCTCTGAAGCTAGCACCAGAGTGTCCTAAGCCCTTAGCTCCAGGCTGTATAGTGGGTCACTGGGTTTGGCCCATCAGAAACAATCCAGAGCCAACTGCTACACAAGGCCTGGGAGGAAGAGAGGCACGGGAGCATGGTTTGGGCATCCTGTGGGGTTCAGGCATCCCCTGATGGGTGCTGTCAGGGCTTGCATTCAGGTCTGCTGGCTGAACTGGATGTGAATTCAATGCAAAAATGAAAATGCTGGTAGCTTTAGAATAGCTCTCCAAGCCTACTCTTCAGCTGACTGAGGCTTTGAGGCTAAATTCCAAATGTCATATTTTGGATTTAGGAACTCTGAAAGGCAACTTACTTAGGATGTTTTGTATGTAGTCTTTCTCCTTTCATGGGAGTTCTGGATTCCACTAGATTGCATGCTAGTAAGGTTTGCATTTGAACTCTGGCTTGAGTAGCTACACCGTAACCCAAATTAACTGTACTGTTATTTTCTAACTTTGCAATTAGCTTGTGTCACCAGCAAATGAAATGCATGAGTAATTTCTATACGGAAATTGCTTGCCACCTCATTTATTAACGTTAAAACAGATGCTGTTTTATCACTGACTGATACTGGACATTAATCAGTATTTTGTCAGACTTTGCATGCATATTAATATCACAGCTGGGAGAATCTAGGAAAGTTCCTCTGTAAAATACGCTGTACTTCCTGCCTAACAGCCTGCCAGCACAGCAACCGCCTAAGCACTTGTAACCAGTGTCAGTCTTCTACTGTTTGCCACTTCAGTGCACATTTTCCCACAGATGGTATCCACCCACAGTGAAAGCTGAAAATACAGCAAACAGTGTTTGCCTCATAAGAAACAAGGCAAAAAAACAAGGGCATCCCATATCACATTTTGGTCACATCTTCTTTTACAGATGAAGAGATATTATGAATCAATCCCCTGAAGCTGTATGTACGTTTTGTAAAATAATTTGTATTTTGAAGGGTGAATAAAGGGTCATTAATATGTTGAGTGATGGGCAAGGTGCTATGCCAGGACTGTGAAGCTTTCTGGATATTTTTTTGCCTTCTATTCCTAGGATCCCATTTTTTTGAGCTCTGGAAGAGTCCTGTTTGCCAAATCAATTATGCATTTTGTTATTAAGGTAATGAAGTGAGATTCAGGCATATGGACAAAAGGGTATGACTGTCTCCCACACAGTTTACGGTCCTGTGAGCACCCCTTCTTCCATTAAGCCCCAGGGAACATAAACTAGCAACAACTGCTTCTTTGCATTTGATTTAAAGCGACTGAAAGAGGAGACGGGGAGGTAAGAAAACACTAGATTTAAAAGCTGTACCCAAAGGAATAAATTAAGGGATTTCAAATGCCAATTTTCAGGCAAATTATCACAGATGGGAAATGGCCTGGCAGTCAAATGAGGATTCTTACAGGAAAATGATCTGGTTCCATAATTGGAGCAAAAATTATTCATATTAGTTAAAATAAAGCTTAGAATTAAGCTTTAAGTTTCTGGTAGTTCAAAAAGGCCCATGAAGAGGAGGGGGGTTAAAGAGGGCTTTTCTCACTAATACTTCAAGTCGTCTTTGTGTGCATGAGTAGCCAGATATACCTGCAAGGAATCAGCCTCTTGCTGCTACAGCTACTCCAGTGTTGGAGTTACTACAAGCTGCATTAAGGCTTGTCTGTGTCCTTCCCTCATACTGGCGATGCTGCAGAGCCACCACAAGAGCAGCAGCACTGAAGTGCCTTCAGGAATGGTGGTGCTTTCATAGGGAGGCAAGAGGAAAATCCTCCATATCCCAGTTTAGGAGGGAGTCCTGTGCATACAGCAGTCTCCTAAAGGGAGCTCAAAGAGGGAAATGCTTCCTCTCTGGGGTATTAGTTTGCTCCAGCAAAGGCTAGGACTGAGCACTGGAAAAATACATCAGGATGGCTTGTCTTTTTTGTGAGAAATGCACATGCTCTCCAAAATCTTTGCAATGTGCAAGGAGGCACAAGGTTTCATCTTACTCTAAAATGTGCAAGTCAGATGTATTTAACAACATCAGAGCAGTATCAAAGCCATTAACCCTTACTACAGCATAAATCTATAGCAAAATAAAGGGATCCAAAGTAACATATAGTTTTGCTGTAAAGTACTAAAAATTTATAATAATCAAGTCACCAATTCCAGTTCAGCTATAAAAATCAATGTCCAGTGAAAGTAAATAGAAATGAACCTAAAAAATGTTGTTGCAATTAATAGTGACAAATCTTTTAGTCTGTACTCCAGACTCCTTCACCAGGCTAATTTCCCTGCACGGGTGGGAAGCAATTTGGTTAATGATCTTAAGCTAATAATGTGTAGCAGAATCAACAGTATGATATTCACGGTACCTTTGAGATGTCCTTCACGTTACAGATGTGATACTAATGGAGTTCCATGACAGTGATCACCCACACTCATTACTTACTCCACAAATTAATACTTAAAAAATAATGGGTACTGCTGCAGTTTAAATTTGGAGATACTAACTCTGAATAGAGAAAAGAGGTTTGGGTTTATTTTAATCTTAGTGATTCTTTTGTTGCACAGCAACTGAAGTACACATACCATCTTGTGAACACACATGAGAAATAGGGTGGGGTTTGTTGTTTGGGGGTTTGTTTGGTTAGTTTTTGTTTTGTGGTTTTTTTTTCATGGTAGGTTTGTATTTTGTCTGACTGAAAACCAGGAAATGTGGCTTAAAATTGCAAAACACTTTTTTCTTTCAACTATTCTATTTTGTTGTCATATTTCTTTGAAAGGAAGCACTGTTTAACTTCCTAATGAGTGGCTGAAGAGCAAACTAAGAAGGTTAACTGTATTTATGGCAAGAGATTCCTTTTGTAGATCTTCATGGATAGCTTCTTCCAGGCATGGCAACTGCAGTTTTCCCCTTCATCACATGGCAAATAAACCTGAAGTAAAGACACTTTATATTCTTTTCATTAAGAAATGACCTTTTCCCTTTCATAAAAAGGGTGAATGTACCTTTATGTTAGGATTTTTTTATGCAGGCTGTAAGCATTATTACAGCTATCAGTGGAAGGACTGAGCACAGCCTTTTTTGTGTTATAATTTAGTGTTATATCCATTTTATTTTAGGATGTATCCTAATATAAAATGTAATAAAAATAAAATGTATCAGCTATATGAAAGCCTTTCATATGGTCTCTACCTGAAAAGTTAGTATTGAACTTTGCAGTGAATTGTGGTCTTCTGCATTTTCAGATCATCAGTTTATTCAGGAACTACTTCCATGTGCCACTGGAATACTTCTGGAGTAAGGCAGACCACCCACTTACAGAAACTGAAGAAGTGTGTCTTGGCCAACTGCAGTGACAGGAGAACTGAAATGCTGTGCTGCGAAAGGTATTTATGTTGCCTGGAATATCTGATCTGGTTTGTTATTTTCCTTGGAGAATTCATAACGAAATCTGGCAGTACATCACAGCATTTATCATTAGTGTTCTGTTATAATTTGTAGAAATTCTCACAAAGTGGTATTTAGTGTTGACATTTTATAGCGTAATTTCTTCCGTGATTTCTGCTATGTGCCCAGGACAAATGCAGATTCCGGAATGATCTTTTCAGTGCTCAGAAGGAAGTCAGAGCAGTCCCGTTCTCTGACAGATGAGCTAACCTGTCACTGCAGCCTTGCTCCCCTTGCTCTGGAAAGGATCTTGAATTAGTCAATGGACCAGACCTCAGTGAGATCACTCTATTTGCAACAGAAAATTCAAACAAGTACTTCTTAGTGAAAGGGAGTCGTGTGCAGTTGACAAAGCATTGCACTGATGCCACTGTTCCAGACTGCCAGTACCAGCTCTGTGTGCATCACTGGTCACTGAACAGGGCAGATGGGATGAGGACAAGGTGTGGCCACACAGGTACATTTTTCTGAAAGCCCAGAGTGCCAGGCCTAGGAATGGATGGACAGGTGATAGTTAAGTCAGCATAAAGATTGTTGATGTAAAACAAATCTGTATGAATTTATATCAGATCAGTACTTTGCATCATGTGGCTAAATGTGATTTTGGTCCCGTAGCTGAAATCCTGAAGACTGTTTCCCTGTATCACTGCTCCATAGCAGGAAACCTTAACCAGCACCTTGCATCTAAGTGGTGAATATGTCTGGAGGCACAACATATCCATAAAATGTACCCAAGCTGTTGGTTCATAAACAGTGTGAAAGGGGGTAGTGATTTAAGCTCAGCTCCCACTGGCAGAATCTGTGTGCTGCTGCTTCTGCCACTTGCAGCCCATGTCCTGAATGCCCCAAATGGGCGATTACAGGACTGATCATCTATTCTGTGTAGGTCCAAATCCTGTTTGGTTTTTGTTTTTTTTTTTGTTTTTTTTTTGTGGGGATTATCTAGGAAGCTAGTTTACTGGAAGACTGGGATTTATGTGACAGATCCAACAATTTTAATTGAGCTGCATAGAAAGTTCAATTTAGAAACTAGTCACTGTGAGATCTCTGTTCCTCTATTAGCTGGGGGGAAACTTTAAAACAAAAGTAATGTTTTCCAGTTCTACTTTTTTCAAGACTAATTTCATGCCAATTACTGCATTACTTTTAGCTGATAAATATATTCAGAGACTAAACGAAACCAGCAAGATGGATTAACTCTCCCACACTACAAACAACATTTTTAAATATTTTATATAACATAATTAAATGCTGTTTGTTGTCTTCAGAATCAGATCTTTGGACGTGTTAATTAATTGCTTTAAGAGGGCTGAAGATGTTGCAGAGAAAAAAAATTAAAAGATTCAGATATTTATCTGTAGCGTTCAACCTTGTTGGCTAATAATGGTTCCAAAATAATTCCTACCTGCAGAAATCCGGTGGCACCATGCCATAAACATTTATCCTGTCACAGAGCTCTAATGCGATAGACATTGTGAACCAGCCCGTGCTAAGCCAAGTGTTGGATATCTTCCTGAAAGCAAAAACATAATTAAGTTTCTAGGCTGACAAATAATTTGTGATATATCTGAAGCAACTTCTGGGCATTTTATTTTATTCTTGTGAAAGGTTATGAAAATTGGGCAACCAAGACTACTTTGCTTGTGCACCTTTTAAGGCTTTTGGTAGTGTCTTCTGTCAGCAAACTAATCTATGCAGAAAGTGTCCTTGCTGTAATTAATTTTGGGCACAGCAATGTTAATATTTAGCTGACCTTTTGTTAAGTTTACTGTAAGTGACTGAATCTCCATGTGCTATATTTATAATCTTCTGCTAGTAATGTATACACATCTATAATCACATACTAAGTGCTCAGGAAGATGCATCATGAGGGGTAAAGAGGGCTGCTTAAAATGCTGCCTCCCACAGCATGCAGAGGAGTGTGTCTGCTGGAGCGAGATTGAGCCTCAAGTGCTTGGTCTAACCCTCTTTCCTCTTACCCTGTCCATGATTTGATTTCTAGAAGCTCCCAGAACCTCACTGTGACTGCTGGCAGGAAACTCTTAGTTAGCTGCTATGCCTGTCCCTTAGCCAGCTTGGGAGTGAACCTGCCCGGAGTTGCCTCCCTGCCTGGTGGGCCCTTTGAATTTGAGTGACAGTGCTGCAAGGGAGCCCTCTAAGGCAGCTCCTTTCCTGGCCTTCTCTGCAAGATGGGAGAAATCTTTAAAAGAAGCACAGCTGATCCCAGCATTATTTATGCAAAATAGGAGAGATCTCCATGTAACTGCTCACAGATGCAAGAGATTTAGAAGCTGTGCTTAAACTTTGCTGTAGCACAGGTTCTGATCTGAAAAAGGGCAACAGTAATGTTTGGTCTTCCTAGCATTTGCCAGTTGTTGCTGTTCAGTGTGGATGAGCTGGGTACTATAATGGTTGCACAGCACATACACTGAAAGTTCTGGTCCTATGTTAAGTTCCTGCACTGTCCCTATGCTGGGGGAATTTTGGCAGTCTTGTAACAGGAGGGTCAAGGCAATGCCAGAGAGAAGCACATCTTAAAGGTGTTGTAAAGGCATGTTTAGCGGCAGCCCTAAATGACCAAGTTGGGCATCTCTCTTAGAAATGGAGGCATATAAAGTTGGGTATTTGCTCCAGAAAAAACAAGTTCACTCAAAGTCTCTCTTCAAATGTTGCTAAAGGAGACAACTGGCCTCCCTAATGCCTCCCACTCAGGTAAAGAAGTCCTGCAGGAAGAAATTCATGGTGGTATCATCTGTGAACCAGAAAGGCCTCAGATTCCTGATGGCCGCCTGTCACAGTGATTGGCTATCCTTTCATCTCTTGCTAAAACTGAGGCATGATGAGAGCACGCACAGGCTCATGGCTGGGTTGTGTGCTGTATCACGCTGTACTGATGTGGAATGTACATTAACCCCATTCTACTACACCTATATCTGCCTGACACCTGCGAAGTTTTGTGAGCCCCCCCAAAAAGCATAGCAAAGAACTCTCATCAGAGCAGTCACCCAGGTATCCCAGGTCTTGACCTCAGTCCAGGGCCGTCTTTTACAGTGACAGCAGGATGCACCACAATCCTGGAAGCAGGGACCTGAAGCCACAACAGCTACTGTAAGCCAGTGCCAGTGATCACTAACAAGTAATTCAGTAGGAAAGCAGCTTCCTAAGCTAATGCTGAACAAGTTGGTTCCAAGTAGGTCACCTAAGGGCAGCAGGAGGGGGATGTTTTGACCACTGTCACATTAAGGAATGCCTTATACGAATGTTCCCAGTTTCCTCAGTGAGTTAGACTGTTACGAAGGAAAAAAAACCCAAGTGGTAGTATCAATACCCGCTGCTTAACTAAAAGTGTCTGAAGGATGGTGGAGAGCCTGTGTAGCTTGTCCTGTCCTTTGTTGGGCATCTGACAGTGTGTGAACACCTGAAATGTACATTTTTATTGCTCCTGACATACAGACTTTCAGGCTAAGCTAGCATTTGGAGAATAACATGATTTAAGCATCTCATTAGTTCCAATTATGGAGCCTTATTTATTTTCTGAAATTGCACTTAAGCTTTGGGGGTGGTGGTGCAATTTGTCACATTGTCATAGCTAGGTCATAAGCTCAGCAGAGGCCTTCAGGCACTGAAACAATACAGTGAAACCAGTAAATAATTTTTGGTTCAAAATCATTAGGAAAGGGAGAGATAGGGAAAAGTCTAAAAAAACAATCGCGTTCCTGAGCCTGTGAATTGCTAGGTAAATCAGGAACACGGTCAGGCTAAGAGTACTTTGGAGTAATGTGCACAAGGCCACTGTTTTACCCGTCTAAGACTTTACATTCCAAAACCAAGGGAGCAATTATATCTAGACCATGACCGAAGTGGCTGTGCTTTACACAGGTCCAGCAACCCAGCTAGGCTGCCTGTCGGGTTAGTTTTCTTTTTGCTTACATACACTTACTTTGTAATTTAATGTTTTCAATAAATAGGAGAATAACTGAATTTAAATAAACTGGCTTAAAAGCTAAACAATGAAATAAAATTTAAAACTTAACTCAAGTATCACTCTAGCCTCTTTAAATACCATGTCTGTAGGACAGCAATACAGACACAGGGTTACAGTGTCTTGCCTTTTCAAGATCTGAAGAAGAGTCCAACAAAAGAATACTGTTTTTATACCTACTCAGCTGTAATGGAAGGATATGAAGAACTGTCATGTGCTTATTAGGGGAAATTATTAGATATTCTTTTATATCCTGAACTAACACACTGTGCTGATAATTCTGTAGTGCACACTAAATTACAATTAAAGGCCTTTCTGCTCCACCAAAATCTCATTTATAATCTCTACGGAAATACTCTTCCTGCAGTTATTTCATTTATGCTTCCTTTATCTAATTACTGTAATATTGGTTCTGAATCATATTTTCTTAATGTGCCCTTATTCAATTATAAAGTTATTTTGAAGTACAGGTACTTTATAATACCAAATATATTGCTCTGCAGCCTTTGTCATTCACCAAACAATTTAAGTGGCAGTGTTTTCTGAAGGTTTCCCTTCATTTCAAAATCAGGTGGTTTTTTTTTGAAAAGCACAATACATCCAATTACCTTTATTCTCATCATTCTCAAGACAGAAATGAATGGTTTGATCATTGCAACCTTGTAATCAGGCTTCTCTCTCCCTCCTTTGTTTTTTGCAGGCACTAATGTCAAGAGCTCAGCAGAAACCTCACAGGGAACAGCAAGCAGCATTCTGGGCTGTACAATGTTCTGCTCCTGCCCCCACAGCTACATAAATTTTCTCCCCTTACTAATTCCTTCCTACCCGTGTTTCTTTTCATCTTCCCTCTCTTTTGCTGTACTGCCTATTCATTTATTTTCATCTCCCGTTTTAATCTTCTTAGTCCTTCAAGTATGCTGTATGTGCCCTCTAAAGGAGCAGTTCGTACACAGCAGAGCCTGTGATTTCTTAAAAGCAACAGGACTTATTCATGCAGCTGAATTTTGCTAGTGTTCATGTGCCCTTGATTCACACTGGGAGTATAGGGTGCCCATGACTGAGTCTGCTATAAACTGGTTATAATGTCATTAATGTCTCAAATGCCTTGAAAGTATTTCAGAAACCAAGACTGAGCCTGGTGCCTGTGCAGAAACAGAAATGCTTTCACCACATGCACAGCTATAGGCCTCTTGCTCCCCATGGGTGGTGCAGAACCAGAAAGAGGAGCTTGCACAGCAAGTATCAGGAAGGGAATGGGACTGTGGCTCTCCCTGGCAGAACTGACCAGACTGAAGCAGAGGAGGTAACTTGTTCCTCAAAACTGGGAACTGCAAGTGGTCTTACACTGGAAAAGTAATCCAGGAAAGGAGGTGGCAGTGTGCACTCCTTGTGTAAAGGATCTGACCCTTAGGGCTGATGGTGGGCCATGGTACACTGCAACTGCAACTTTGTTAACTTACGTGCCTTTGCAAACAGTGGGCATACAAATAGATAATCCTTTGCACTGTTCTTGAAGGGTTCAAGTGCTTAATTCACCTTCTCGCTTCACTGTACTTTAGGTGAACAAACCTGGGAAAGACCGTAATACATCAGAACTGGCAGGGTATCTCCCCTTAGTATCCCTCCTCGTTCTGACAGAGGCAGTCTCTGGCAGAGACCCAAGCAATGCTTTGAAGATGAAGAGAAAAGGACCTTTAATGGTAAGAAACTGACCAAGTTACTGTGAGTCAGTCAAGAACTTAGATGCATAGTTCGATACACTATAACTGAACAGAGCTCTGCAAGCAAACTGAGGGGGTATGACAAAGGCAGCGAAATGCCAAGCAAAGATACAGTCACCTTCAGCTAAAAGGATACAAAAGCTTCCTTTAACACTGGTTCTGCCTTTGTTGTGCAGCCCAGAAAACACAGTCCGTGCTCTTGAGTCCTCCCTCCCACACACTTTGGTGTGTATGTACAGTATTTGTGAAGCTAGAAAATCTCACTATGAATTACTGCACAATAAACCTACCTCTTCATTTGTACCGAAGTGGTGGGGACCCTGTTCCACTTTTACAGCAGCATATTTAATAAGTAAAAAATAGGAGTTCATTAAAAATAAATTTATTTCTTGCTAGGAAGTCTTTGGTTTAAATGTCCATTTTCAGACATTATATGCTCAAGTCCTGCAGTGGGTCACTTACTAAAATTTGATTTGAAGATCTGCCTACAAGTCATAAACAGTCTCGTAAAGATGTAACTATCGTAATAACTTTCCTTTTCCCGGTTGGAAGTATAAGATGAACTGTTTTGAAGCACCTAATGTATAACTAATGTTTATTTGTTTTACAAGAAGCTTTACAGCTGCAATGTTCCAAGAATGCTTAAATTCAATAAACAGCTATTATAATTCACTGAATGGTGACATTTCCTCTATAAGAAAACATAACCTATCCCTTCTGATTTTTCAGAATCAGTAAAAAAAAAACAACTTCCAGGTATATTATCCCAAAGTGAGACTTAAACAGCTCCTGCCTCCTTGGCTGTGTAAACAGTACATCCAGCTTCTGGTATTCAAAGTTGATGAGGCAATATTCTATACAAATTATTTTGATGCATATTTTTTACTTATGTTACAAGTGATGTTATTTGGCATGTCATATTATATTACGACTCATGAGGCAGAGGATTTAATGGGTGTGATGGTCCCTCTGAGCAGATCTGAAATTGGTATGTATATATATAAACTATGTTATTTTACTACTGTATAAACATGCCCCAAATGTACCCACATAAATTCTCACCTGTCTTTCCCAGTTTCCTGTTTAAAAAGGTCATCAAATTGAAGCATCTTGTGGCGAGAAATCATATATGCTTTTAATTGAGGAAGTATCTGATTCATCAGCTGCAGGTTGTTATACACCAAGCCTTTACCATCTCTCCTCATGTAGCTGCTAGGACCCCAGAAGATAAACACGGCTCCGTGGCTCATATTTAAGAGTTCGTTGCGATTTCGCAAAATCCTCTGAATACTGGAGTGTGCAATGACTCGAAGGCTTGTTTTGTTTCCAACATCTTTTCCATAACCTCGAGTAGGTGCATCATTCATTCGTATTACACACTCTGTCTCGTCGATTCTTTCACCTTGTTTACTTCCCAGAAGGTGTCCAGAGCTGGTTACCAGTGCACAGCTCTTGCAGTGCATTTTTAAAGGCTGCAAAGACATACATACTTCAAAATTAGCTGTAGACATCTTCGCACCCACTACATGACAACTATGTTTTACATGTACATGGCATATTTTACAGCAAATATCTCAGAGCACTTTATATAATTCTCTGCCAGCAGTTTTCTGAAATAACTGGGGACACATTATCTGCACATTTCGTAGATGGGGAAAATGTTGTGTAGGTCTACAGCCCTTAAACTTCCTCCGTGGGTTCAAGTCATAGAATTATAGAATCATAGAACAGTTAGGGTTGGAAAGGACCTTAAGATCATCCAGTTCCAAGCCCCCTGCCATGGGCAGGGACACCTCACACTAAACCATGTCACCCAAGGCTCTGTCCAAGCTGGCCTTGAACACCGCCAGGGATGGAGCATTCACAACTTCCCTGAACAGCCCATTCCAGTGCCTCACCACCCTCACAGTATATCCAAGTCCTCACCACCCTTCCTTATATCCAACTCCACTGTTTAAATCCTCCTTTCCACTGCTGCTTCACACAGAGTATTCAGAGCAGCTCCTATACTATTCTTGGCTGCCAGGACTGTACTTCCACTTGCCATAAATGAGCTATAATTAGAGCATTTTTGATTATTCCCTTTCAGTCTTTTGCAGGACATAATCAATTTTAAGTCCTCATAAGCACAGGCGTAAATAGCTTTTCAACCTTGGGGTCAGGGAATTTTGCTACAGGAAGAGAGCTATACCTTGGTCCAATCCTTCCATGCTATTTCCAAGTTGCTATAGAACAAGTGTTCGTGTACCTCTGTGTTTCAACAGTCAGAGCTGGTCATTAATGTCTGTGTATATTTTACATGACAGGGAGTTAGTGCACTGAACTTTTTCTAGCTTGTCAGGTCATGTTTAAAAGTTACACAATAAAATGAAACAAGGAGGTGCCTGATCAGTGAATGGCTGACCTAATAGAATCAGGAGAGTAAAACAAGCTTCCATGAAAATGAAAATGCATGATAAATCCTATTATTGAAGTATGCCACCAATACAGATATAAGTAAGGTAAGTATGAAATTGTATCTGCCGCTCAGCATGAGAACTAAAAAGGGGCCAAGGGTTATCCTCGAACTGCTACTTTGTAACAAGAATACAATAAACTGGGAGGTAAAGACTGTTTAAAAAGGTGGCCTTCCAGGAAACAGTATCTTGCAGCATTTAAGACCAGTAACATCGTATTACAGAATATACATAGCGTGTCTTCTCCTTTCTTTGAAAAAATACAAGTGAAACAACCAACCCCAAAACCAAAACTGGCAAACCGAACTGTGGTTGCTCACTGGTCCAGGCTTCCTTGGAAGGCCATCTGGATCTACTGATCTTCTTCCCTAAGGATGTCCATCAGAAATTTCTTTTCATTGCTAACCATGAAGAATGGCATTCCAATACCATCCTGGTGAGTAACAGGTTGGTTTAATTCCAGAGGCTCCAAATCAGGCACACAATACACAGAGAACAGTTGTCTCCTGCAAGTGGCACTGGCCTGATCCTGTAACACCAAGTAGATCAAGTGTACCTAGGAGGTGACAGTATTCATTGCTCTGAAGAGTGCTAGCAACCTAAGCCCATCTTTTACAACAAGGGCCTCAACACCTCGGGTTCAAACCCTGTGGTCTCCATGGCAGCTTGTTATTCATGCTATTACAAACATGGCTAACATACCTCCAGGTGTAAACTTACTTGGTGGGTTTATTAGCAATGAGGGGACATTATGGTGACACACAATTACACTTAATATCAACCACATGTATATTGGAATCAAATAACTAAATCAGTGTGAAGTGAGGCACAGCTTAAAACTGTAAAGCTGAGAAGAAGACATAGCCTAGGTTTGAGATTATCTCAGACTTCCATTCCAAAATGGCCCCCAGTATTTGAAGGGGATATGTTACTTAAGTAACTTGGTTTTAATTTTGAAGGTAGTAAGTGGTTGTAGTCTGAGCCTTTCTTCTGTGAGAATACCTAAGAATGATTAAATGCTTTTCAGTTAAAGAGAGAATCTGTGTAATGATACAAGCAGTAAGCTTTGTATCTCCATCTTCCCCAAACTGTTAACAAAGTCCCATTTCTTTCACATACATGGATTGTAATCCTGAGCTAATGATATGGGTAGAAATGTTCATGCCTTTGTGAGCCAAGGTTCCTAATGCAGTATTTACATGCATTTTCCTTCAAGCTTTCATCTGCCAGTTTGATGAATTACCAAGCAAAAGCTCTAAGGTGAGCTAGCTGCTCCACCATCATGCTTGGGAAAGCAAGATGAAGTGCTAATGAGGTTAAAGGAAATGTAGTCAGCACCAATATTAACTCACATGGGTTTGAATATCCACATAGCAAGACATTTTCACCTAAACAATCTCTGCTGGTTTCTGGCCTACTGAGCTAAGACTTACTTGTTTCTTTTAAAAGTCTGCCAGAGAATCCATCAGTTGTTAGAAAACAAGGGCCACCATCAGCAGAGCTGTGAACACTTGGGGAGGGAGGGTGAGTGAAGGGATGTCAGCATTTGCTAAATGCCAAACACTAACACCCCCCAAAACACCTGTCCCAGATCTTGTTTGAAAACTGTTTCTTCTGGGAAAAAGTCTTTAGACTGAGAGATATTCAGGTATAGCCCCGCTACTTGAATGATGCATGGGGGCTGAGCCCATGTAGCTGCTCCGGGCAAGTCATTTTCAGTCACCTCACTCAGAGGCTTTCAGTTGTCTACAAAACTCACACCTAAAAACTGTCAGATGAATTCACAGCCAACAGCCACAACAGTCTCCTACCAGCTGTTTATAATGCTTTGACAATATTGAAAGCAAGGGGAGAAAAAGCTATTGGCTGTAATATCATCTCGTTGGGAGGCAGCAGTTGCACTAGAAATGTCATCTACTTAAGCAATAGTAATGGAGGCACAAGGCAGTTCTTTGGGATTGATGACCAGCTGGGAAAAGTTGATGGCCTGAGAATAACCAGGGGCCATTAAGCCAGAAGAACATTAGCTCCGCAGAAAGCTCTGTTACAGTAATTATTACAGTGATGTTTGGGAAAAAAGGCAAACAAAAAAAAAGCAAACCCATGACATATGAGTTACATTTCAGGTAGGAGATGCAGCTCTTGCTTCATGAGCCTTGCTTCAAAATGACCAGAAAAGGGATAGGGTGAGAGGCAGGTGAGTTTTATGGCATCTGTATTAATTACCTTGAAATGTAGCATATTGGGCATGTAAAAGCTGCTGACACTCAGTCATACCCATTGTCAGTAAGCAGCCACAGTTCCATATGTACCTGAATCACATGTACAGCACCTTGCACAACATGGCAGTGCATGTGGCTATTTGGGCAACACAAGGCAGTCATATCAACACTGACGGCACTGAGACAATGAACAAGCCAAGAATTTGCCACAAAAATTGCCCAAATTACCTCTCAGTTCCAGTCACCTAAAGGTACATCCAGGGAAAGGGAGAAGAGAGGGTACAGGACAGCAAGCTCACAGCGTGAGAAACCCGGAAGATGGCAAAATCAGTTGCTGCTTTTCTGGGATAGATGGGCTATCCCAAGGGAATGAAGGAAGCAGGTGAACCTTGCTGGTAAACCCCGTAATAGCACCTTAACGCTGTAACAAATGAGTGCAACCTTGCACCACTGTAAGTATCACAGGCCAAACTAACTCCTGGCAAGTTTCACTTATATAGATTATAGCCTGGGAAGTACTGCTGCTATATGACATACCTCTGATTTGTTTAATACCAACCAACAGACAAACAGAAACAAAAAACAATACCACAATTGTTTCTGTATATTCCAATTTGAGGCAATCCGCTCTGTTATTGACTTTCAAATCTATGTTGTTCAATGTTAGAAAAATGTTACTTTCAGACACTTTATTACTCAAAATAAATCAATGGAAAAATGTTATTCCTGATTCAAAATGTTACTCCTAGATATAATTATTTTCTTTGTGATGCAATCAAAATTCCCCCCCCCCCCCCCAAGTCTCTTATCTTAAAGCAGATTTAGAAAACAAGACAAATACTTTCAGTAAAATCAGGAAACCCTGGCAAATACATTTTTTCCTATACGGAGTACTTAATGACCTACTTTCAAACCCCTGGGTTCAGATCACTCCATTATCAGTAGTATAGAGTATTTTATCTTGGGATAAAAACAGCAAACAGCAACCAACCAACCAACAAACCAACCAACCAAGAACAAACCCAAGATCTTCTGGAGTGAAGAACACCTCACTACAGAGTTCAGCAGAAAAAGACTACCTGTCAGTTCATGAACACCAGCATTCCTCATAGATACATCTGGAAAAACTATAGATGACTTCAAAATAAATATATTGTGAAAGACTGGGAAAAGTTAAAGAATATCCAAATTCCTTTCAGATGAATGACCTTTAACTAAGCATTTGAGACTTACTTATGGCTTGTTCTCGACTGCTGGGTCATCAGCCACTGGCAACAACACTGCGTAATTAATGCATCTCCAGTAATACAGTATTTTGCCCTGGCAGCTTCAGTTCTAACTTTTTATTTGAAGCTTTAAGCTGCTTTGAGGTTTCTTACAAGCTCCTGGCTTGGGACCACTGCTCCACTAGGCTGGTTCCTCCTACCCAGTTTTCCTCTCCCGGAAGCTTTGAGGACAATCTCCCTGTCACAATGGACACCCCAACCTCTGCAGGAGCTCCAGGCATCCTCAACCCATTGCTGGCAAGTGACAAGTGGCTGCTCCAGCTCTTGTGAGCTCCTGTCACTCAGCACTGCTCCAAGTATAAAGCTTCTCTATCCATTACATCCATCCTTCATAAGCAAGCTATACATACTGTTTCTATCTGATTGCCTCCTCCTTTTCCCTAGAAGGCTGACAATTATAAAGGCCAAATCTGTTTTTTTTTTTTGAGAAATTTCTAACAATCACCTTAAAGTAGAATAGAAACCCTGAATCCTCACACTTGTGGAGGATTCTGTAAGTCAACACAGC